CAATAAATTGTTTGGCTGACAAAGTCTTGAGCTTGCAAAGGCGCTAAACAGCCAGCAAAAGGCAAGTTGATTGAAAAGTTGTTGGCCAACTGGTTAAGGTAGTTACCTGGCTAACGTTGTTTAGCTGGAAATTGTGCTCTACTCCCTGTTGGCCCTAAGCTCTGCAGTAGCATCAACAGCAGCGGTTACACTCACACACTCACACACACACACAGGTAACTTTTAGCAAAACACTTTGCACATGTTTTTTTGGTACGTTGCGAGCTATTTGACAAAAGTGCCAGGCCAAAAGCTGGGCTATTTATTATGCTTGGCACTTTGGACCAAACATACATACACACATACACACACACACTCGCCCACACACACACACATGCATGCAAGTGGGCAACTGCGTAAATCATTTCCACTTTATGCGCCCTGTAAGCCAGACAATGTCAACAAACAGCAAAGACAGAAGACGCTCAGCAGCAGCCGAGAGGGTGGCGTGGGCGGCTGCGAGGGCAGTAAGAGACAAGCATTATAACGCATTAAAAAGTAGCTGCAGAGTTACGAACGAGTGCGACGAGGGTTAGGGCCCTGCAGAGTTGTGTTGCCAGCAAACGACAATCTCTTGCCAGCCAAAAACTTTGGCCGTTTAGAAAAGTGTCAAGCATTTTATCACACCAGGCAAAATCCACAACAACAACAACAACGAGAGACAAGCAACGAGTGAGAGAGCGAGCGAGATGAAGCTATAGGGCCATAATAAATCTGCAGCAAGCGAACGAGCAACGTAAAGCATTGCAGCTAAGCATGCGCCTAAAAGTATGCAACGTGCAACAGTAAACAGCGACTAAGTCAAGTGACTGACTGACTCACTGACTAACGGACTGACTGACTAACTGTGTGAGTGAGTGACCAACTGACAGTTGGCCATTTGGTAAGTTTGTCCGCACAGACCGAAAAACTTGTCAACATGTTGAGTGCAGCCGCCTCCGGGCGAAGTCGTCGCACAAACTTTGTGGCAAGCGCAAAAAAAAAATGTGAAAAAATAGGTGAACAGTGCATGCTTGAATGGCTGATGCTCTATAAGCAGCAACCTACGACTGTGCTCAAGAAAAAGTTATTAAGCAATTGGTTAAGAAATTATGAACAAGCTTTTAATGCAGCAACAAAATCTTATTGCTTGCAAAAGATACAAGACAAATTTGATTTAAATATAATATATATATATATACCTGATAAATAGCTTTTCTACAAGCTCTACATGAATTAATATCTTGATCAAAGAGCTCAAAGTATTGTTCAAAATAGAAATGTCCAGCATTTGGTCTAGTTACAGGGTATATAAAGCACCAAACTAACTTAAAACGAAAAGTGAACCATAAGACCTACAGAGCTGTCATCAAAAATGAGCACGTGTTTGTTATTTGCGCGCAGGTTTACCTTTTTTACCGTTTGTACAGTTGCATTCCTGCGGGAGCAAGCTTAGCCATTGTGCCAGCCCGCATCGTGAGTGGATTTCGGGTGTATTCTTTTGGCACATAAAGCAAACAAGAGCAACATCAACAACTTATTTGGGCACTAGCTAATTGCATTTGAGATTAACAAACCAACGAGCAGAGAGAAAGAGAACAACTAACTAAGTTGCCTAAGTTGATGAAACTGGAATACCCTGCAAACATAAAGAAACTTGAGCAAGTATTTGTTCTATAGAAAAGTCGATTCATACATTTCAAACAAATATATAGATATTTATCTATGCCTACCCAGCTTATTGTCTAGGTAAAATATATATGTAATACAAAATTTAGCAAACATTACAAAGAATCTTCTCTAAACTTCAAGAATTTATATCGCTTGCCTGTCCTTGCCGTGCCCTGACAGCTGACGGGTTGAAACTATAAATCTTTAGGAAAATCTCTGGCCATGACAAAAGCCTGACGGAATAGCTAATAAAATAAGTTGACGTCAGTTGGAGGCTGGTGACGAATTTTCATTGAATTTTTAATTACCGCTGAGATGAATTGACAAGCGGTTGGCAGGTGTTTCATGTTGCCCACCTGCGGCTTTAATTAATTAAGAGTGAAGCTACAAATTCTCGCACACCCACAGAGAAACAAGGCACGCCGTCAGCCTGTGTGTGTGCGAAAGGTTCAAAGTTTTCCCTTTTTGTTCTGTCTGGGGATATTTTAAAACGAGCTGAACCGGAAAACATCTGCAAGACATTTAAAAGAGTCTTTCGGTTAGGTGTTATGTAATTTGATAGCGCTATAAATTTGCGGCTAGCTGTGACTTTTATTCCTAGTCTCAATTAACGACTGCAAATACCCTTTACCAAGTGCCAATTAGTCCTGGAGTTGGGCAAAGTTTACCATTTAAGTGAGGTATCTAGGGCAACGGGCATACCCGTTACTGATTCATTTCTAGTTATAGTTGGCGAGTCGAGACAAAAAGCAAATTACGACGCTTATCTGCACAATTTACGTGCTCGGGCACAAAGGACACTCGCTGCCTGGTTGGGTCCTTCTTTTTGTCTGCTGCATTCTGCGCGTCTTTGTGCGCAGAATTTGTGAATTTCACGTCGAGCGGCAAATTTCGCCAACATCAAATGCAGCGCGTGCCTCCGAAATTCAAAAGGATTCATAGCGCAAAAACCCCTCTTTAAAACAAAAGAGCCAAAAATGCGAAAACGCCTTGAAGCCAAGGCGACGAGGATGGCGAACGCAACGCAGTTCGCATTACAAAAGGACGACGCATCGCTGCAGACGCTTAGAAAAGCGCAGCTTGTTGCCCAAAAAATGTTCATACTGAATGAAAGTTTTTCTTCCTTTATTGTGTACACCCTATCTACCTCCCTCTCTGGTATGGTAGGGTATATTCGCTGTGGAGAAACTGTTTCTTTATAAATATATATCTATAATTAAGATCAGAATAAGGACTGCACTCGCCTTTGCTCTCTTTGCACAAACTGTGAGCATAGAATTCCCAAGTGGTTAAAGCACAGCAAGACTAGTAAGGCCAAGACAAACTAGGCGATGATAGAACCTGGAGCTATGGACAACCTGCTCACTTTGTGATCCATTGAAGAAGAAACTTTCTTCTGTGAAACATTTAATTAAATATTTAAAGTTCTTTGATTTGCAGTCTTAGAGTCACTTTGATATATGATATGGTCGATCTTCTCACAGCTTCCAAGTCACTCGTCTCTCAACAGCGCATGGCACAGCTGTGCACACCCGACTGCAGCACGGCTACTTGTTTTCTATTTTTAAGCTCTTTTCTATGCGATGCCAGGCATAGAAATTGCGACTTATTGTATGAAAATAGGAGTATGTATGTGTATGTGTGTGTATGTATAGAGAGCTACGAAAAACATGCTACAAAATTGTAAAGAGCCGCTCGAAATGAGTTGCCAACTGCTGCCACTGGCAGCAGCAGCAGCAACAGCAACAGCAGCAGCAACTCCAATGGCATATGGAGTACGGGCCAAAAAGCTGGGCTCGCATTTTTGTGACTTTCATGTACCATAAATTATTTTATGTTATTATTATACAATACATACAAGAACAACATGCAAGGGGTTGAGGCGGCGTGGCAAGGCGAGGCGAGACGAGTCGAGTCGAGCAACAAGCAAATGGTAAATTTTACTTTTATTGCGATTACGTTGACATCTTGTGTGTGGGTGTGTATTACTCATATTTGAAGGGAAAGGGCAACAGCAGCTTGAAGCCAAGCAAATACTAAAACAAGACAATGACAGCACATAAACCGAGCTGCACTTACAGCTGGCATATCAAATTTAATAGGCATCATTTCTTCAAGGAAATCGATGAGCAATAATATATAAACTACAAAGGCGCATTAAGTAAATGCCCATGCTTAAATATGATTATAATTATGTAATGGATCGAGAGATTATGAGGCGGACTTAAGGGGCAATTTGAGAAAAATATGAAATATATAATGATTTTTTGGAAAATTATTCGAATTGATTTAAATTTGGCTAACCATAAATATTTTTACGAAATATTTTTAAAATAGTTTTAGCAAATATATATTAAATGATTTCAAATTTTAAATAATTTCAGAAAATATATTTTTCTTCTTTGAATTAAAGATAGATGATTAAATAATTAAATAATAAATAAAAATAAGATAGATTAAAGATAGATAGATAAAAACATGATTTTATATTTTAAATAATATATAGTCATATTTTTTATAAATTATAAAAAAAAGTTCATGGATCAAAAACAAAACTATCTTTAATTTCAACTTACATATCTCAATTTATTTCGAAAAATCAATTATACTATCAGAAAGCTTACGAAATATATATATATATATATATATATATATATATCAAGAGCATATTTCAACTATAAAATATTTGTAATATATACATTTTACTTTAAATATAAACTAAAAGCAAAACCTCATTCAATTCCTAGCGAATTCACACTGCTAAAAGGCTTTTCATTCCAAAAATTCTTAACCATCTATACAAAATGCAATGCATATATATATATTTATATATTCATCCAAGTTATCTGACTCTTTTGCTAGCATTGTCATGTATTTTATTTTAAAAATTCCATAAGCGTATGTCTTCTGCTAATGGAGAGTTTAGACGAGCGAGTGGAGCCTTTTATCGCACCGCCGCGCTCTCAGATAAAGGCAAAGGGCAAAGGGTGGCCGAGTGCAGCAGAAGCTGGCAAAAAGCAAAAGCGAAATGAAATCATAAATGCCCGGACACGTGCCGAGGCAGCACACAGAGCAGCTGCCACGTGCAACGCTTGCTAGTTGCAAGTTCTCAGCGCTCAAATGGTGCCATTTGCGAGCTTTTGGCAACGAGGTGTTAAAGTTCTAGTTTCCTTCTCTTTTTTTGCTATCTATTCTTTTGGCAACTCTTGCATACTGGCAGTTGTTTAAATATTTAAATTTATTTATTGGCGACCCATTTAAAATAATCAACAAAAATAAGAAGTAGAAGAGAACGCCGAGCTGCGACTTACCGTGTTGTTCCTTGCCGAGTCCAGAGCCGATGCCAATGCCCATGCCCATACCCATGCCCATACCCATACCCATGCCCATGGTCATGCCCATGCCAGCGCCGTGTCCAGCGGGCAAGCCGCCTGCAGATCCTCCGCCGCCTGCTCCGATGCCGCCTCCGCCGGGCATCGAGTGCTGGTGCGCTAATGCGAGCGGCATTACGAACGCCGTAGCCACAGCCAGCAGAGCCATAAAAATTTTCCACATTGTTAACGTGGCCATTTGACTTTTATTGCACTTCATTTTCATGCGCTGCTCCTATTTTCTTTCTCCACTTTTTTTTTGTTTTTGTGTAATTTCTTTTGGCCAAAAGCTTCAGTTAGCTTCTGCTTCTATTTTCTTGTTCTTCGTTTCTTTTGGTTTTTTTTTATATGCTTTGGGACGCTTGTTGATTTTAATTTGATGTGACTTAAGTTGGATTTGGTTTGCAGATTTTGCCAGTCACAGCTGCAGTTTTGGCCCGTCTGGTTGCCAGTTTATGCTGCGCTCTCCCTCTGTCTCTCCGTCGGTCCACTTCCACCTGCTGCAAGCTACAGCTGCTGTGCCTAGTAGTAGCACATTTCGAATGGTGCCGCGCTGGCAGCAGCTATAAGAGAATAAAGAAAGAAAAAATTGAAATGCCATCAATTGAGTACGTTGAAAAGTTTTTCTGGGGCAGGATGAAGGCGCAAAAGCGTTCTAACGGAGGGGCCAGGGGTCTTGCAGCTAGTTAAAAAGTTGTGAAAGTTTTCGTTAAAGTCAAATTGAAGCCGCAATTATCGAGTTGTAAGACGCACACACACAGCAGACTCTCTCTCTCTCTCTCTGTGTGTCTTAGCCCGAGGCAAGTTAGAGCTAAGCCACATTGGAAATGAACATTTTTAAGCAACTGTTCAGTTTGTCAACTTGTTGAAAAAGTTTCTTACATTCCTATTCCTTAAGGCCATCAACTTCTCAAGTTGTTTAAAGTGTATATGTTCAGAGCATAAGATATATATTTTACTTATACTTATTTAAGTCATAGAAAAACTCGGTTTGAGAATTTATATAAAATTAGGTCAAAGGTTAAAGCTCGCATTAAATGAAATATGCAAATTTAATTATGAATATCAAGTAAAATATATATGTCAAAATTTGTGTGAAATTATGAAGTTAATTTCAACTGAACTTCGGGAATCGAGACTAAAAGAATTGTAATCATTAAAGCCAACATTATATTCCACTTAGCGCTTGAATAAACTGTCACCAGCTTGTCAGACCCAATTAATTCCATATAAAATAAATGTATTTACATACATTTTCATAGCATGACTGCAGTAACAGTTAACAGCTTTTAGTCCATATACTCTTATTTACATTTGAATAATACAATTTTCCAAAACCACACGATTTCAACGATTCTATAGAAATTTCGCACGAAACTCAGTTTTCATTTCAATAATGAAGGCAAAGAGACTTTCATACTTGGCTTGAACACAAGCAACGACACAACTTCAATGATATTTCGCCTGCTCTCGGTTTGAGTCTACGCGCAGTGTAATTCAAAACTCAGCCCAGCCCGTAACCGAGCCGAGCTCCTTTTGTATAGCAGCCAATACCGTTCGCAATCGCATTTCCATTGCCAAGTAGCTATGCAGATAATGCCACGACGCAGCAACAAACAAAAAATTTACAATTTCCGGCAAAAGTCCCTTAACTTCACCCGCCCAGCCCGCAGACAGGCGCTCGATAAAAAATATAGCCGTGAGCAAAGGAAATTCAAAAGGGATGCCAGCAGAAAAAAACCGAAAATAAAAATAAATAAATAACTAACATAAAAATTAAGGTACAACAAAATTTGACATACGACAAAAAAATGCTGAAAACTGAAGCAGAAGTAGAAGAAGATAGGCAAAAGCCACTCATATATCTTCTCGTTAAAGGAGAAAAAAAGATGAATTCTATAAAAATGTTCAGATGCAAATAATAGTGATGATTTGCAAATACAAAATGAAGCTGACTACAAACTTGGCAACAACAAAGCGACGAACAAGAAGAAGAGGAAGCAAAAAGGTAGCAGAAAAGGTAAAAGAAACGCTGACAAGCGAAAGGTAGCGCTAATAAATAGACACAAAGGCTGAGGCCAACGAGAAGACACTCGCAAAAGATACAACACGCCAAAGGGCCAAAAGGTTCACAATGACATCAAAATTGTGAATGGGTTGGCTCAATGGTTGCTTTGGCATGGGGAATAAGCAACGTCGCTGGCAAATCAATAGAAACGCAACCTGGGCAATTTTTAAGTTTTACCTGTCCTTTTTCACTTTTTTTGCCAAAATACTCTAACAGATTTGAGGGCTATAACAATTTTTTAGCTAATAGGAAACAGTTATTGAGAAATTTTTAAATATATTTAAATTTGTTATTTATTTATTTAAATATAATAAAAATATCTAACAAGTAAAAATATTTTTTACAAAAGTAGAGTAACTAGAATTCGTTACAGTGTTCGCTAAGCTAGTTTCTAATTTTGTTGCTGGCACTTCTGTTTCTATTGTCATTTTGTCAACGCGTCCGCCGAGTGTCGTCACTGGAATAGAATGGGCCGTGCAAGGTTTGTGCTTGAGCGTGGGTGGATTGCTGTTGCTGTGGATGCTGCTGTTGAATATGGCGCAATAGATGCGGGAATCGTTATAAGGGGAGGCGCTTAATAATGATAAGAATGTAAGACATTGCAATAAGCGACCAAATGGCCGACAGATAAGCGACGGCACAGCCTCAACAATGGGAAGGTGCCAATGTGAGTGAAATAATAATGCCCCAGATGATAATAATGATGCTGTTGATAATGACATTGTTAATAATGATGTTGCTGCCACTGCCACAGCTCCAGATGATAATGATAAAACTAATGGGCCGACGACAATTAGGTATGAGAAATTTGTTTAGGTTCTTTAAATATCGCACAATATGAGAATATGAGAATAAAAACTGAATGGACAGCTTCAACTACACTTGAGCAATTTGCGCACAGTCGAGTGCGCACATTAACCCAAAGAACAAACACAACCAACGGCACACAAAGAGCACAAAACAAACACAGCAGCAGCCACAGCAACAACAACAAAGAGCGGCCAGGCAAAATCAACATGGCGTACAGGCGCCGGAAACGGAAACGTCGGCCAGTCGAGCGGGCCAACGGACCAAGCAACACATACACATGCACACACCCACACACACACACAGCAACTTAACGACCCAGCGACCAACCAATAGACAAACATTCAAACAGCAACAGGAAAGACGACGACGACCAAAGCAATGCAAAACAAAAAATGCATTAACTATAAACGAACTCTGTATACTCTACAAAGTGAGAAGTTGTATAGAAAGAAGACTAAAATAACTTAAAAAAAGAAAGTGTATATAATAAATATATATTTTTGTATACTTCTATATAAATTAATTTAACAAAGTTAATATTATTATTTATAAATTATATATAATATTATATTATGTTTTATTGTATTATATTATATTATATTATATATTGTAACATTTTATTTTTGATTGACTTTTGTTTAATATTTTATATGATTTTAATGAGTTAAAGTTTGAGCTGAATAATCTATAATTAAAGTATCTCAACCTCTACAACTTGTCGTATCTTTGTACGCTATAAGAACTTTTAGATATATTTTTAAATTTAAGAATTTCTGTCTATTCACTTTCCTCAAATATAAATTTTGTATATTTTCTAAGCAAATTGTAGAGCAAAAGCAATTGAAGCATTTTGCTTTTATTTCAAAGCTAAGGCAACAAATGCAATTATCCTGTTATACTCTATGCTTTTGGGTCAAAAGGAATAGGAAAAAATGGAAATGGGAAAACATTTGATAGACACATTTTATTGCATGAGGCTAGCCCCCCAGTCAGACAGCAGCAGCAGTAGCAGCGGCGGCAGCAGCAGCTTCTCGTCTAGCAATTGCTACTGACATGCACTCATATAGCATGCACATACATGACTCTACTCACTCTCCCTCTCTGTGTGTGTGTGTGCCTCTAAACACTCTAGACAATGGCCCGTCAATAGCTGCCTCGGCATTTCCTGCTGCCGCAAAAAAAATAAAACTTAACCCAGCTTCACGTTGTAGTTTATTATTCCCGCAAGTCTCATGCTTTTCTATTTGCTCTAAATAAATTTTTATCATGTGCCAGAACTAAAATGTCTGTGTGTGTGTATCGTCTGTGTGTAGTCCATCATGCCAGGCTAGCATCATTCTGAGCGTTATTCATTTATTCATTCACTTCATTCACTCGCTGCTGGCGCTGTTTCTTATGGTTTTTGTGGTTATTGAAGCGATCATTCGGAACATGCACAGCATTTTCATGTTTGTTATTTTCGTTTCTCTCTGTCTCCCACTCCATCCCGTCCTCCTCCATCTCCACTACTCACTCCGCTTTTATTATGCTGCCCAGTCCCCTGCCCCAAACTGTTGGCTCCATTATTAATGGCCAAAACGTTTAATATGCGAATTTAAGAAAATTACTTTCATAACACGACATTAATGGTGACATATAAATGGCATTACTCACACCCCATCCGCTGGACACTCCCCTCCCCTCCCCTCCCTCCCTCTCTCTGGTGCCTGAACATATAGCGCATATATCTGATTTTTAGTGTCGATGAGATTTATCGCCCCAACGAATTGCGGCGCTCTGGACACAAGCGGAAATCTGTGCGCGTCGTCCGATTCGTTGCTTGACTTATGGCCAAGAGCTTATGCCGCCAACTTTATATATAAAGATATATGTATATATATCATATGTATATATATTTATGCAGCTCTCCCCGCATTGGCTGAGTACTCGCTTATTTATTGGCCTCACTTATGTCCCTGCGACACTTGCGGTCAGCGCCAAGTGAAATGAAAGCGTTTTTAATATTGCCACCAAATTTCGCATAAACTTAAGAAGTGACATGTATATATAACAACAGATTTATATATATTATGCTAGAACATATGTGTTCTATCTGAGCAGAGATCTGTCATAAATGTTTATGTTCATAATTCATTCAGTTGAGCTCATAATAGTTTTTGCTCTCGGCTTATTGTGAATGTGATTTAAGCCGCAATTGAAATAATAAAAATGAAAATTAAACGATATTGTATTATTATGCAAAATATGTCAATATCAATTGTAACTACCTAAACTAGAAGAAAAATAATAAAAAAATTAAATGTTACATCTTGAATACCCCTAACTATACAAAACACAAATATTTATAAACTAAATTTTAAATATTCTTTGAATTAGTTTTTCTTTTGAAGTTACTTGCATAGTATGTCAAAGCTGAAAATCATTAAACCGTTTTCCAGTATCTAAAGTCTTACCAAAATATTTTAAGTTACTATATAATTACTACTTAATTACTATTTAATTACTATATAATTACCTTTCCTTATGATTCTTGTTATTTTTGTTACATTTTATTCTCATATATTTTTCCCAATTTTCCCCCTTTGCTTTAGTTTATAGCTGCCATTCACTCTCAGTTTATCACTTTACCGTTGTTTTATATTCGATTGTTAAAGTTACTTTCCTATTCCATGAGGTGTATATTCT